TCTTTCCTCTATTTTAAGTCGTGTAAAAAATCCACAATGTGCAATTTATTGTCATTCTAATTATGGTCCATGTTTTACTGATCTTCAAATGTTCGATAATTCTAATCAAGATAATGGATGTTGGTATAGTTCATATTACTATGAAAAAGCAATTAGAAATGCAGCTGGTCATTTTTCAGTAACAGAATACGAAATATTTCAAATTCAACAAAGGTAAACAAATAGGTTATTAAATACGTGGGATAAATAAATGCAATTAAAGTTCAGAATTTAATGAGTTTTTTAATTAATTAATTAATGACGTATAAAACAGTTTACAGTATACGTACTGTTTATATTTGTTAATGCTTTGAGTGATTACAATAACGAACTTACATGTGCTTACGTAATATTCACAAATAAATTTCATAATCAGAAATAGGTTTATTTTATTCGTGAGGTTATAAAAAATCAGTTAATTGATGGGATTTATATTTATTTAATATCTATGATGATATTTTGATTAACAATAATATACTATACATTAATCATGATATAATTTGCATCGAAATTTTATTTCTTTGAATTTTGTAATATTTCTAAGATGGAAGTACTCATTGGCACATTCATCTTGTTGAATTATGAATCCCATCATTTAATTTCGAAATTATAAAAAACGTGTTTTGAATATTTATATCATGTAAAATGAAACAAAAAAAAACATGGTATTTACAAGGGAAAAAAAAATACAATAAAATTAGAAATGCTTGAACAAGTAGTTTATGAACAAAACTTATGAACATTGAAGAAGAGAGCAATCTAATTACGGAGAATATGAAATTATCCAAATATTGAGTCTAATTAATACGCGAGTCAATTTAACGACTGAACTGGTAAATTCAGAGCACCAAAATATATATGAGGTATATATGAGGATGAGAAATCAAGTACAAAGATGCGAATTAGAATTAGAAGCTTTAAAGAAATGCAAAAAACTATAAGATATAAATGGTTTTTTTGCCAGTTACTATGTTTAAATGTTTAAATGAATATACATTGATACAATTACAATGTTATTATTGTTCTAGGCAAAAAAGACTTTAAGCATATTGCAAGAATGGTAAATGACAGATTTTGAACGATCAAAAAAAACCTTTTCAGCAGCATTTAATTAAACTTGAAGTTCTTATATTCTTATATTAAAAAAAAATAAATAGAATTTATGTGAATACATTTTAGACATTCAATACTGTAATCTGATTCAAAATTTGAAGCTATAATCAAATCAGTTCTTTACTGAATAATTTAAATAAATAAAGAAACTTTGTGGTTTGCCTTATGCTAATCCTCGTATTTTTTTCATGGTTGCGTTACCTTCAGATTGTGTTGTCGTTAGTGGAAACGGAATTTAAGTTGATTCAGCTCTAATCTAAGTAGATTCCGAATCGTTTATATTCCATTCCCACTTACAACGCATGTATCATATTTTAAAAATAAATTTTTTGTTAAAAAATCTTATTGGTATTTAATACAAGCCATTTAACCGACATCACTCTGGTGAAAATTTACTGTTACAGTGCTTTTCAAATTACTGTGATCAGCAAAATTCATGCGTCACACATCACGGGAAATCTGGGAATCAGGATTTTAGTAAAATGCAAGCCTGTGATTGGCTGAAAATTATACCAGCCAAATGTATTGCGTATATCCCACTTATTATAAAATTATCATGGATCACGAGTGTCCTACACATTTTTACCAATCATTATGAACACGTGAAAACCTACGCATTCTAGCCAATCATTATGTTCATGTGACAGCGAATATCATAGATCAGACGCCGTATGGGAGAAGATGCCTGGGTTGTACCCTATAACCCAATGCTCATCTTAAAGTTAGAATGTCATATTAACTTTGAAATCGCTTCCACGGTCCATTTATTTATGTACCTGTATAAATACATATTCAAAGGCCCAGATAATATTAAATTTACTATCAATAACACGGAGACAAATAACACTGACCAACCTGAAACATATAACTCAGAAAATTCGAATGAAAATAATACATCAAGACGACAACCAATTAACGAAATTAAAGACTACATCAAAGCAAGATACTTATCATCAACTGAAGCAGCATGGAGAATATTTCGTTACCAAATAACAGCAATGGATCCACAGTTCAAACACTTCCTCTTCATTTACCCAATACTAACATCCCTCAGTATAAACGTTCTCGAAACATTCCATCTTCTGCATCACTTCTCACACGATACCTTCTTAGACCAATTGACCCACGTTTTAATCATCTTAAATATACGGAATACTATGAGCGATACATGTTATACACTTTTAAACAACAAGACATAAGAAATGATAACTTTCTTGAGCAAGAAAAACCAAGAAAACTTATAAGAAAAAGATCTACTAATAAAATTACAAGATTAGTTTTAATACCTCCTTCAATTGGAGAACTTTTCTATATGAGATGTATTATAATGCACCGCCCATTTCGAACATAGGAAGATCTTAAGACGGTCAACGAAACTATATACCCTACGTATCAAGAAACTGCTCGTGAAATGGGTTTATTTGCAGAAAACAACGAAGGCGTATTTACTATGAAAGATGCCATTGAAAACTTTTATACACCAATAAAACTCCGTTTTCTATACATACAACTAATTTTAGATGGTATCCCTGCATTAGATCTATGGCAAAAATTCAATCCCGCACTTTCATCTGATATATACGAACAATATCATCACAACCAAAAACTTAGTCTTAGAGTTACTCTTCAAAAAATTTCTTATATACTTACAGAGCACGGACGCTGTATGCAAGATTTTGGCCTTCCAAAATTACAAACACAAACACAAGAAATAATACAAGAACATCAACATTATTCCAACAATGCTTATTATCATCAACTAACCACCGAACTTCAATCCAAAATGACACTAGAACAAACCACCTTCTATCACAATATTATAGATTACTTACTTTGGAAACCAGAAAATGGACCTCCACCTATAGTAAACTTTCTAAAATTTCTAGATGGAAAAGCAGGACGAGGGAAAACATTCTTAATTAACACTATTTGCCATGCAATTCGATCAAAAAATGAAATCGTTTTACCGTGTGAAACCACAGCTTTGGCAGCCCAACTATATGAAGGAGGAAGAACGGCCCACTCACTATTCCGTATATCTGTAGATGAACATAACGCCAACATTCAATCTTCAATAAAATATCATAGCAACCGTGTTGATTTAATCCGCGCAGCAAAACTGATAATTTGGGATGAACTCCCAATGGCCAATAAAGCTGTATTAGAATGCGTTGACAACCTCCTTCAACAATTATATGGAACAAATAAACTATTCGGTAACAAACCATTAATAGGAGTTGGCGATTTTCGCCAAGTAGCTCCAGTGGTTAAAGGAGCAGAAAAAACTGCTACTATTGACGCATCAATTAAAACCTCATACTTATGGCCATACTTTGACATATACACACTTAATCAACCTATCAGAAACGTAACTGATCTAACATTTTCAAAATTTATCGATAATATCGGGAATAACTATCAAGACCCTGAAGTTTCGTTAAATATTTTTAAAACAACCCAGAATATTGAAGAGACTATCACTTTCTTATACCCAGAAAATTCACTTGCAGACCCTGTTAAACTGCAGAAAAGAGCATTCCTCAGTCCACGGAACATATTAGTGGATAACTTCAATTCACGAATACTCAATACCTTACCCGGAAAAGAACATATCTACTTCAGCTACGATGTCATAAAAGAAAACGATCAAGTTATAAATGATCAACCTATTGAAATGCCAGATTATCTAACTCAACTAACACACCCCGGCATACCAAACCATGAACTTCGTCTAAAAATCGGTACTATTTGCTCAATAATGCGAAACATTTCGATACAAAAAGGATTAGTCAAGAATGCACGAGTTATTGTAACTAAATTAGGTTACTCAACAACATTCATCAGTTATCAAGGCCTCACATTGGACCGTGTTATAATAGATCTATGTACTTCTGTATTTGCACATGGTCAACTATATACAGCGATTTCTCGAATAAGAGAAAGAAAACACAGCTTAGTACTACTACCCGAAGACAGCGAAAATCCAAATACAACAAACATAGTCTATAAAGAATTAATTGAATAAATCAAAAACTTAAATCATTGAACACTTCATATAACACTAAAAATAAATATTAATATAAAAAAAAAATCAATATATATATATATATACATATACATAAACAAATATATGTATATGTATGTATATCTATATATACGTATATATATATATATATTTAATTCAATAAATTTAAACTTAACTATACATACCAGTTATGACATTATAAATATATTACCACCATTAGTCATATGAAAGAAAAAAAATATATATGAAAAATTAGATTCCCACAAAAGTATATAAGCATAACTTTCGCATACCAGATAACACAAAACTTTCAACATGCCTATTCACGTTTCAGTAGTTGTATTAATAACTTCAAAAAACGAAAATAACACGTTCACTCAGGGCATCGCACAATACCAGCCCACAGAAAATACATTTGCAACACTGCAATGGAAATATTTCGATACAAAGATAAACCGCATAAAAATTTTTCAGTAGGAGACATTTTTTTTTTTTTTTTTTTTTTTTTTATGTAGCGTTCTTCCTCTTAACGTCTGTATTTCATTTAGATTTTGATCACCCCAAATAAAAGGTAATGCTAATTCGGTAACTGGTTTATTCTCTATTTTGTATTATCAAAGCAACATCAGAGATTTAATATACTATGTTCACACATATCCACACCATAACTGTTTGACTCTGAGACGAATTTACCTTGCTTGTGGTAATTATTTCTTCTAACGTAGTTAAGCGGTTCTTTGCAGAATTCTGAAAAAGTCATATATCAATTTCCAAATTCTCGACACTTCAGTGTGAAGTGGGCTAATGTTTGTTCCTCTGGGTATCAGGGACAATTGAGATTTTGTACTGCTGTAACATATACCAATCTTTCATCTATCAGTAGAGCATTATAGATCAAGTGCCAAAAGATGCCTTTCTTTTGGTTAGGGATCTATTTATGATGTTACCAGAACCAACTTTCTATTTTTTTATTGTTACTAAATATATATTTGCCTAGGAAACATTTATTTTATAGAGACCTGCCTCAAGTCTTTTACTTTCATGATTTTGATCAAGCTTTTATTTCAGGTCAGTTTTCCTCTGAGGCTGGCATTTCCCTTACAACCTATCCATGTGTCAAGTAGGGCTTCCATACGCAGGGCCAGGCTTTTAGTCCAATTTTGGGATCAATGAACACGACAGTTAAGGTTTTTCTCCTTCTGCTATAGAGCTAAATTCTATACGTTTCTCTATTTCTGTCCATAAATTTAAGCTTGCATCAATCATGTTTGCTAACACTAGAGTTTTAACCTATTTCAGCTCCTGCGATTATTATAATGTAGAATATCTTAGAAGAAGTTTTGATAATTGTTTTCTTGATGGAAGTAAGTTATATACTGCATATTATACCTTTGAAAGCATTAGTATCTTTGCTACAAATATTTTGCCTTTGAATGAAGGATTATGACTACTAATTGAATCAGTTATTTTTTTAATTGTGGTCTGCCACAGTTATTTCAAAAAATTCTTTTAAAACTCAGAATTTTAATTGAGTTTTCTTTCTTTAATTTTGAAAATTCTTCCTAATTAGGTAACCTTGTTTTTGTGGAATTGTTTGAAAGCAGAAATACTATTGAATTTGTTTTATTTATTGCAATATTAGAGGTTGCATTATAGTTTTTTGGTAGTTGCTTAGTGTATTCCAATTATTGTGCGAATTTAAACCAATAGGTAGGTAGTTCCTTATTGTATACCTGTCACATTTTTTGTCTGAATCTGAGGATTTCTTAATTAATATGTCTAGAGTTGTGTCAGTATCAAATCTACTGGAGATGAATCCATGTTAATAATTTTCTAAAGTTTCTACACATTATATTTAGCCTTGATGCATGAATATCTTAGTATCACAGTTTACTAATGATATGGATCTCTAATTGATCAAATTTTCTAGGGACTATGTTTTTTAAACCAAGATTTATGAAGCCCACTAATAGCACATAGTAAATATATTTCTCAGCATCAAAGGGGTTTCATTCTTAAATACTTATAAAATTTATAATTTAGATCATTATATCATGGGATTTAATCATTGAAAAGCTAGTTAATACTTCTTCAATTCTTTTCAAGGTAATCTTTTTTAGAAGTGAACTGTCATGAGATTGTGAAATTATAGTAAGTTATTAGCTAAACCTCTGTCAGATTTATATCTACTAGCTCTTTTTTAAATAAAGATTTATAGTTATTTTTATAAATTTTAATGTTTTTAATAATGTTTTCTGATCTGGAGGCTGTTAGTTTTTTGAATTTGAGGTTGCATTACATAAATGTTTATATTTATATGTACATACATACATACCTGTCAAAAAAGTACCTTATTGATCCTTTCTTATTTATTTTGTTTTCTGATTTGACAGGTGTATGGATAGATACTTAGTACTTCTGAATTTCTGCCTCTAGACATGAGTTAATATTTCTATAGTATTTTTATTTATTTTACTTCTGCATAATTCTGGTGCTTGTACAGGTATAAAACTTTATATAATTGACTGGATTCAGATTTTTGATTATTCACTTTGAGTATTTGTAGTCCTTATTGATTTTCTCATTGATTCTTAGATTGTCAATGTTTTTAAATTTATTTTTCAAGCCCATAGTTTTTTTATACCAAACTATTATAAAAAATTTTGCATTCACTGTAGATAGATTATTAAGATTTACTACATATAATATTATTAAACAAATTATAAATTCATTAAATAATTATTTTAAAATTTTGGCATTTAATTAACATAAATATGTTAATTATTTTTTAAATTAATTTACTAAAAAACATTGTTATATAATATAGAATTTTGGTTTACTGATTGCAAAGTAGCATACTTTTTTTCAATTAAAATTCGATGTAAAAGAAATGATATAGAAAACTAATATTTTATTGGTATTATTGAAATTTTATAATTAAAATTGAATCTGCTTTTACAGTTAGACCCTTCCAAATGCAACTACTTTAAATGCACTTCCTATAAAATCTTCTAAGTGCACATCTCCAACTAATCCAACTCATATAGATTTTTGCTTCTCTACATACACATTTGGTCCTATTGTTATGCATTAAGAAAAGTTTAACTATATTAATATTATAGAATTATGCAGCTAATTAAAGTAGTAATTGTAACTGTAACTAATCAGCCAACTAACGATCTATATTAACAGTATGCAAATCTGCGATTAGAATATTCATATCATTGAAATGATTATTTGACTAAGTGGAGTTTAATATAAATACACATATAATTACTTATAAAATTGCCTTCTGCACACTAACAAAAAAGTTTGCTTGTGAATTTTTGGTAATGATAAAATTCTTTCTGATTCAATATAATAACAAAACCTAGTTCTAATTTAATGACAAAAAAATTTTACCAAAATTTTTTTGATTCATCCTAACTTTTTTTGAATTTTGGCAATATTAATTAGTCAGGAATGTATCAAGGATTCATTATAAAGAAAAATATAATCTGGAAACTCGCATGCTCATTCAAATATATAGTATAACAAAAACACATATGATCTGCTCCAGACACGTACATACATAAGTATATAATACTACACATTTTCAAAGTTCTAGTTATATGCGATCTCCAGTTATTTTTAACAATATACTCCTCTACAAAATCTATTTATCAAAATGATGCTGTTACCAAATGAAACCTTCTTCTACATTTTCAAAAATTTGGAAGATGATTCAAAAACACTACTTTTCTGTAGCATGATGAATCGTCAATAGTGCAGAAATTCTATTCTAATCTTATGATGCGCTCCAAGGCACCATTTTGTGACCCAAGACTCATCTGAATATTACTTTTTGATATTAAGTTCAGAGGAGTAGGTTTAACTAATTTTATTTGTGTTCGCTCTCCCAAGTGGTCCAAAACCACTATTCAATTACACAAGTTATATTTTATCTGATACAGATGATTTATATAAAGAAATCAAAAATTGGCTTTACAGAAGAGATGGATGCACTTTAAAAGATGCTATTTGCCCTCTCATAATGGCAATGCTTCTATAAACATGTAATAACCTGAAGCACCTGAGTCTTGAAGAAACTATTGCCATACAGTCTGCAAAGATTCTTAATGATAGTAATATATTAAGATCTATAGAAATTGCAGACTATAGATTAAATTTTAAAAGTGTAAAGATGAACTTTCTTGAATCTTTATTATAATGAGATTAATTTAAGAGGGCAAGATTTTGGCAAGGTTCTTTCAAAAATGCATCATGCTAACCTTATTGAATCTGTGTGAAAATAATATTGGCTCACAGAGAGGAATAGAAATTGCAGTTACACTTCGCGTAAACAGTACCCTAAAAGATTTAAATCTTTACTATAACTAACTTAAAACAGAAGCAGGTATTGCATTAGCGGATGCATTTTGCAAGAACATTATGTTGACCTCCTTGAATCTTAGTAATAATAATCAACTTAGACTAGATGCAGGAAAAGCAATTGCAAGTGCATTTTGCAAAAACACTACATTAATATCTTTGGATTTTAGTAATAATTATAAAATTGATACAGGAAGATTCACAAGTATACTTTACTATAACGGAACCTTAACTTCTTTGAACATTTCACATGTTATGCTTAACCCAGAGTGTGGAGTTGCAATAGCAAATTCACTTTGTGAAAATATTTCTCTGCCATTTTTGAATGTTGATAGCAATGCTCATAGACTACAAGGAGCAAAAGCATTTGCAAATGCACTCTGCTGTAATACCACACTGACTTCTTTGAGTTGTAGTTGTAATAGTCTTAAATCAGGTAGTGAAAAAGTCTTTACAGATACACTTTGCAGAAACACTACACTATCTTTTTTACAATCAGATTGGATTAGAAGGAGGAAAAGCATCTGCAAAAACACTTCAAAGAATACCACCTCAACTGTTTTGAACATTAATAGTAATAAAATTGGTGCAATAGGTGGAAAAGTGTTAGCAGGTATGCTTTGCAAGAACACTACTTTAAAAGAACTAGATCTTGGATATAATAAGCTTGAATTAGGAATAGAAATATTAGCAGATGCACTTTGCAAGAACATCTCACTATTTTCTTAGACATCAGTATAATGTTTTTGGTAAAAATGATGCAATAGTCTTAGCAGACACACTTTGCAGAAACAGTACACTTGAATATTTGAATGTTAATAATAACTGTCTTGGATCAAAGGAGAAAAGATACTAAAAGATGCTCTTTGCAAAAACTCCTTGGTTTATTTAAATATTGGTTCTGGGCTATGCTATTAGTCAAAATTTTATAAAAAAAATAATTAAAAAATAGCTTACTATATTAAATACAGATATAGTGAATTATTAATATTGTAATAGTGTTCCAATTATTTTTGATTATGGTCAATTAGAACATTATCCAAAAATTCAAATTAGATCAGTTGCAGTTGTTTTTATAAATTCTAGAACAGTTGAAAAATTGAACCTGAATAAAAAAAGCCTTTTTAATAAACTATAATATGTTTATTAGTACAAAGAGAAACAAAAAATACTATACATGCTTAAATCAAATTTTATATAAAGTATTAGTTATTATTCTTTAGTGTACTTTTTATTCTTTTTCTTTTATTCTTTACAAAGTTGGCTTATATAAAACAATATCAACTATAAAATCTTTAAATTATACAAAGCATTTATAATTAACATAAGGTAGATATTTAACTTTTTATAAACCTCTATACTATAATGGTATTAAATATTTTTCTAACAGGTTTATAGTTATTTTTAATAATTAATAGTTATTTAAATTGAGATATTATTCAGTATTGCAGCGCAGCCGCAATGATGAATGATATCGAGATTAATTCGGGATTTTAATGATATCGACGACAAATACATGTAATAACTGATTTATTACACGATCCTAATTGTTCAACCATGACTTTTTTACCAATATTTTCACGGTTGGTATTTTCACGGCAGACTTAAAATCCATGAAAATATCAAAAATATCAACCGTGAAAATATCAGTAAAAAAGTTCAAGTGAAATAGTGATGACGCAAAAATTTGGCGGTCCCGTGATTTTATCCAATCCGATTGTAAGATCAATGTATAACAAACAACTGCGAAGTAAAAATTAAGGCGAAAAAAAAACAAGAAACTACAACTCATAAATTCGCAAGGAAAATTAGCCTTTTGTTATTACAGTGCTTTTCAAATTACTGTGATCAGCGCATCACACATCACGGGAAATCTGGGAATCAGGATTTTAGTA